TTGATTAGGGTGATTGTTGTGCGTGAATCACAAGCCCAAACATGCGCGTGCATAACTCAAACACAACTCGATTGGTCTGGTACATGCGAGTGTGTGTGTGTGTGGGGGGGGGAAGGGATAGATTTGAAAGGCATCAATGCGCCGTACAAGTAAGTGTATTGGACTCATACGCACAAGGTATATGATCGTGCAGACAGGACGAGGAGGGAAATGGTTGAAAGCAGAACGGGTTAGAAATTAGCGAAAGAAAAAAGAAAAAAATTACAGAAACAGAAAAGCTCAGCTGATGATGATTTTTCAGTGATCCGGTTCATACGATCGATAAAATGCGATATCTATAATTGGGATGGGAGTGGTGTAAAATCAGTCCCCCTCCCTTAGCTGTGGTTCGGGTGGGGGATAAAAACGAGATCGCAAATATGTATTGTGTGTGTGTGTGTGTGTGTGTGTGTGTGTGTGTGTGTGTGAGGCGACGACGGTATCACAGCCGTCGTCCTCCTCGCGTCGGAAGGATAACGGGTGGTGGAGAAAAGCTTTGAACTACGGAAGATGAACCAGCAACGTCTGAACTGGCAACCGGATGGCACACGGGGGTCGGGCCGGTTGTTGTTGCCAGCTGAGCTGTATTTGGACGAGCGCCGTCGGACGGTACGACGACCGATTCCGATTTCTGTTTTGTCGAACCAGACCGTTTGGCCACACTTCGAACGATAGCCGAGGCTGAAAGTCCGGACGATTTGCCCGGTGCTACTTTCGAGGACAGTGGTATTTCTGACGATGCCGAGTCAGTGGGATGTTTCGAGCCAGAGCGGGTCTGACTACTGATCAGTGAGGGGGCCATGAATTGCTGGAGCAATGTTTTACTCTCCGCGGGTGAAAGGACACCGGAACAGACACGAGGGTTCGCTCCCTTGGACGGATCCACTAGACCGAAACGAAAAAGAAGGTGATCGATGTTTACCGATAGAAATGAGCGGAGAAAAGCATAGCATATAACCTTGTGTGCAAATGCCGAGAACTGGAACAGAACCAAACGAAAGCAAATCTCTACGTGTATGTCCAAAAGTGCAAAAAGAAAAAATAACAGAGAAAGTACTCACCGTCAGATCTGTCTAAGAGTCCACATAACTGTTTAAGGTAGACCTAGGTGATAACCGCTGGTTACCGATGAAAAAATGGTTCTGGGGTGTACTGATTGCACTAAATTGCAGAGGAGATGAGTTGAGGGTACAAACCCATGGAAAAGTGCCGTTTGAAGCATATTGGCGTAGATCTGTTCCATCTTTTCTCCCAACGGCGGGTAGCAGTATTCCCTTCATGGTTCATTCACTTGACGCCTCCATCGGATAATTATGCAAAGCTTCGCTTACGCTCTTTAGTGATCCCGCTAAGTTGCAGCTTCTGATATGTCTGGCCCTGACGTGGATCAGTGAGCTGAAGCTGCGCTGCTAGACGAAAGTAGAAAACATGGAATAACTGCAGGCTCTTCGTTTTGAACATAGCCTATTCCTCATCACTACAAACTTCAGAAGCTCCGAAGGCCCGTATAGTGCTTGTCATCCAACATCCGTCAGTCACCGGTGGTTCCACATAGATCACATTTCTATCAGACACAATTGGCATATAAGGATTCCGATGGTGCGAGAATACCTATGAATCGGACTAAGCATCAGTTTACGTTAAACAGTTCTTTCATAGGTTCCAAACGCACAACACAACAATGGTTGGGATACGATAAGGGATCTTGCCCAGGATGACCACCATCTTTTCCACACGCGTTAGCTGAAAACCTAGGAACAACCCACTTGATAACAATAATCAACAGTGGTCGCTTACCAGGGATGGTCTCCATTTAGCTAACCAAGTGGGATGTGCGATGACACGTTCTGCCGTGACACTCTGAATTTCTGTCGAATCCTCGCACATTCTGAACACACCCGTAAAACCGAGACGGTAGTGAATAGACCAAAAAACAACTTGTGGCGAGATGTGAACTCAATGAAAGGAACCTGTTCGTACACCGTGCGTCAGAGCCGGAACTCATTAACCACAGAGGGTCTCCTGCAGGAAGGTACTAAGTCTGAGCGAAACGGTTCATATTAAGCCGAGGAATGACCTTTCAAAATCAACAACTAAGACAAGCGCGCTCGACGCGGAGATTCGTAAGAAAATCCAGAATAAATGACCGGGTTTGAATGGTTTTCCTAGCTCTTTGTTCACCTCCAGAACACCAAACATATTCATCGCTGTACTCAACTAAATTGCATCATGAACTTGCTAGGTTACACCAGTTTTATGATCATCCAAACGTAGACGATGGGCTGTGCGACGTTGTCAAACTGGTCTGTGCGGTCACATTTGACCATCCGTTCCTTTCAGTTGCTTAGACCGTCTGTGTGAACTCGATTACGCGGCTGTGGTATATTTTTGATCTCTGAACATGCAATCGGTTTAAGTTGTCAATCGACTTTAGGTCTTCCAAAGCTTTCCCGAAAATTGTGTGCGCGAAAGTCAACAACAAAAAAGAGCACTGGAAGAGAGCTGATTCGTCTTTGTGGGAACACGTCAGCAGCAAGCACACAGCTTTGCCGGGACACGGATCGCGAACTCCCGAGTTCGGAGTCGAAACCCGCAACCCATGCAGCTCATGGTTTTCAAATACGATGTGGGAGCCCGTGGTTCTAGTGCTAGAGAGTAGACAACATTATCACCCATTGTTAATTAATTCCATCAAGAGCGAAGCTGCCGCCCCATGCTCTTTATTAGCGTTCACGGACGATATTGACCACCGAAAAACCAAAATGTTGGGAAATAAATGAACTCCATGGCGTGATACTCACACCAGGATTAGAACACAGCTAGGAGCATGTGAATTGTTGGGGATGTGACACATAATAAATCGGTGAGAATTACTTACATGATCGACAACTCAGCTGAGTCCATGCACTGGCACAGTAGGCCTCGACCACTTGCAAGATACGGGCCGCATCCGCATTACGTCGCTCGTTGTTCTCTGGAATCGGGCGGATAGAATAAAATTTGATGTGTGGAACGGTACAGAGAGTAAAAATAGAGGCGAATCAAACCCAAGCAAGCAAACATCTGGCAACTATCTAGCATCAAGTGAATTGACTTGAAACATGGATCCTGTAAATGTCGAAACGCAAATGTATAAATAAATCACGCTGACGATAAGTCCCGTGTTATTATGTGACATGAGTACTTATTTTCTTGCGCTGAAAAAGTAGGACACAAGTCAGAATCAACTGTGTATCAACAGTTCTGACTAGACACACGAAATTTATTGCTTTGACGAATTCAGATCTCAATCGGAACAGATTCATTACACTTTCAATTTTGATCGATGTGGAAGCTTGGCTGAATCCTTACATATTACGTGGTTCGGTCGGTCAGGTCATATAACACTGCCAAAAACAAAATACTCGTGATGACGAGAAAGCATACGCACTGAGTGTTGTGTACTGACGGTTGCTGAGACTGCTATTGCACCGCCAACTTCCGAGCCGAAGAAGAGAACACAATCAAAATGGCACAGGATGGAATATTAGAAAAAAAGTGTTCTTTCGTTTTTACGGATTAGCATTCGTTCTATTTATTGCCTCCGGTGCGTTCTGAACGTTCGGTATAATTGACCAATCAGATTCGTTGGACCGCCCGGTTGACTATGCTATCTGACCAATCAGAAACGTCGGACCGTCTGATCGGCATGAGTGGAACGTCAGTCACAAATGGAGACGACTTCAAATCAAAAGTTTCCAGTAGCGGGTCGAGGTTCAATGAGCTCCCTCGATTCATGGGAACTGGAAACTGTGTTCGACGCAGTTGATTGATGTGCCGCCTCCACAACCAAGTACCCACTTGGACATTGTAGATCATACGACCAGTTCTTTTTTGGATGTGTCCGACGGTCCAGTTTGCGTGACCAGGGCGATAATCTCTGAAAAGCACTCGATCTCCTGGTTGGAACACTGGTACATCTTTTAACCCAGTGTATGAGTTTGTGCTACTTGGTCGAATGGCGTTGTGCGTTAGTCTCAATGGCCTGTTCATCAAACTTTTGCAGGAGAACGGCTGTCCGGGCACTATGGATTCGATGTAGCCCGGTAATGAAACAAGAAAGTCTCCAAAATTTCTTCCGTTGTCCCCTCCCTCTTCAACTTGATCAGTGCACGTCTGAAGGTGTCCACTTTCTTAACTTGGTTTGGTGTGGATGAACATAGCTCATCGATTGTCATATGTGTAAGTTGCAGGCGACCGATCCAATCGATACCAAGCAAGTCCAATTCACGATCGACTAAAAAGACTGATCCATGACTTCGAGTGCCTGCTGTTTCCATCTCACACTCGAATTCATCAAGTAAATTGATTTTATCTCCTGATGCTTTTCTGGCCGTGTTGACTGTTGGTGTGTACCTTGGGTAGCCAATTTTTTTCGACGTACGTTTAGATATCAGTGTTATATCGGAAACTGTATCGAGTTGCAAACGAAATATTTTTCCGTTTGTTTTGGCCGTCACGTACTTCCGACGTAGCTGGAAGTTTGATTCGATTGTGGCCAGGACAGCGTTGAATTTGGGTTGAGGTTTTCGTGATCTGCTACTTGATCTGACGTGGCGGCTGACCGTTCTGTTGTGCCTTTTGGTTTGGCATTGTGTCTCTTTATGGCCATGACGATTGCACAGTGTATATTTGTGTTTCTTGTAAGGGCAGAGTTTCACAAAGTGTCACTCACCGCACTGCCAGCAAGCTGATAGAGGCTTTGTTCCAGCAAGGCCAGTTACTGTATCAGGCTGTTTGGGCCATATTGAAAGGATTGTTGGGTGATGGATGCTCCAACAGGCGTGTCGTGTCTGAGATTCATAAAAACGTTGGTATTCACGAGTGACCTCTTGCAACGTTATATCGCGGAACCGTTCGATCTTGTTTAACAATAAAGTTCGTTAATCACTGTCAGAAAGTGACTGGAGACCAGAGATGAAAATCAAGCATTTGAACTGATCTTCTGTCAGAGTAGATAAATTGAATTGTTCGCATTCAAGATTGACTCTACCGGCATAAGTGATAAAATCCTCGTCTTTTTGTTTGACCAGTTTCATCAAATGTCAAATCGTGGGCATTTTTCGGTCAAGTGAAATTGGTGTAGCACGTGTGTTCAATGATACCAAGTTTCCTCAGCAACAACCACACGCTCCATGAATCATCTTTGTTCTTCAGTTACCGGGGTGTGGCCGCTATTGCATCCAGACAGCTTCTTGGAGCCACAGGTGAGAGATGAGCGCCTGGTGGAGACCAAAGAACGGAGGATATCCCAAGGGGGCCGACAGCCTTCCGAGTCAGAGGTGCTACTCCTACCGGGTACCCCATACACCCCGATCCCACACATTCGAGAAGAATGCACATGACTCAGACCACGCGCATGTTCACGTGGGTTTTAACAATCATCTTGCGCCTCGCTGTTTAGTTTGTCGTCTCGAAAAACCCGTTTTAGCTCTGCTATCGTCTATTACCGTCCCGACAAAACGTGAAACGCTCCGTTGTAGTCAGCTAGCGGTTGACCAGTAATTCAGTAACGTAGAGCCATCCCTATCGAACGCAGAGCTGTATCATGCTTCCCCGAGGGTAAGATATCCGGTAGAACGTTACAGGTATCGCCTAAAACAAAAGAAGAGCACACACTAATGGATCAAATAACTTCGGAAACGTCCGTTGCGAATCCATCTGATCGGCCTGAAACGACCGCAACAAATACTAGTATGAAATTGCGGTGGAAATAGAAGCTGCATATAACGGGGGCAATGAAAAGCTCATTCGTCAAACACGAGCCTCATCTGGTGAACAACAACCGACATAAAGTTTGCTGCATGTGGAAAGCAGGTGACTCATTTTCAGCCGGGAAGGCTAAACTTGACGATGAGCTGAACATTTAGACACACTATTGAACCGACTGACAAGAGGTGATGTTCAGAATCACTCATCATTGTGAGAGGTGGGCCACTAGGAAGATAGAAGATCAAGCATGACAGCAACAATCAACAAACTGAGAAAGAAGAAAGCCCCCCAAGGGAAGTAGGAATTACAGCAGGAATGTGCATAACTTCTCTCTCTAATCTGTTAGATCCTCTCCGCGCACTCCATTGATCGATCTGGGACAGCGAGGTTTTGTCCTTTGATTGGATAACCCGTGTGCTTGCGTCAACCAGTTTTACCGACGTAGAAAACAGGATTGGTGATTCTCCTCAACCACTTCATGACAAAAAGAAGAGGCTCGTACTCAACCAANCAACCAAATCCAAGATTGTTTTTATCGCGGATGAAGGTGCGTTGGCAAATCTTCACAGAACAAATCAATATGAGCTCCAACAGCTAACTTTCCCCCATCGGTCAGGTTAAAGATGAAATTCTCGTCCGAATGTGCCACTCTGAAAACGCATTATTCATGATCCTCAAAACGAGCTGGACACGATGAGAAATAAGTCAGTCCACAAAAATGCGGGTCTTTCAGGTAACCATTAGCCCAGTGATAACATAGAGCCTCTAAAGCTGAACTCGTTTGAGAGACGTCAGAAGGCTGGAAAAATTCGACCACTGGTACCTCCGAAGAAAGAAGATATTAAAGAAGATATTAAATTAAACGAACATCCGACGATATCTTCATAAAATGCCGTCGTCTGCAGTAGTTTGATTTAACTGTGAAAGGAAAGGAAGAGCGCATCAGTAACCGATGCAACATTCGAAGAACCGATGCGG